CCCCCCCCCCTTTGTGACACAATAATCGAAAGAGGATAAAAAAAGAAAAATTTTGGCGCAAACTGCAAGTCAAAATCTTAATTTTTGACAAAATAGCGGCCGGTCAAAGTTCAGAATAATGGAAATTTGACATCTTCCGCTTTTTTGACGGATTGGGACGGAAACTGGTATCCGATGGTTTTTTGGGACGAGGAAAACGATTCTGGCATTAGTTTTCGGACATCCTATCCTTTTCCAAATGGCGGCGGTCAAAATGGCGACCTGGAGCGGTATGGGAGTATTTAGGCTGTTTATCGGGGGATTTGCATGAAACTTTGCATTGGGGGGGTATTTAGGCATGAGAAAAACGAATCGTTCATTGGGTCTTTGAAATTCTGAATAACTTCAAAATGGCGGGAACTTGGAATTACAGACGTTTACGGTTGCATTTGCATGAAACTCGGGGTTTCGTTGGTTTCTGGTTCGAAACGAATGGCTCTCTTGCTTTAAATTTTTGAAATGTTGCACACTTTCAAAACGGCGGCCGAGTTTCATGCGAATCTAACCTCATGCCTAAATACCCCCCCCCCNAATACCCCCCCAATGCAAAGTTTCATGCAAATCCCCCGATAAACAGCCTAAATACTCCCATACCGCTCCAGGTCGCCATTTTAACCGCCGCCATTTGGAAAAGGATAGGATGTCCGAAAACTAATGCCAGAATCTTTTTCCTCGTCCCAAAAAACCATCGGATACTAGTTTCCGTCCCAATCCGTCAAAAAAGCGGAAGATGTCAAATTTCCATTATTTTGAACTTTGACCGGCCGCTATTTTGTCAAAAATTAAGATTTTGACTTGCAGTTTGCGCCAAAATTTTTCTTTTTTTATCCTCTTTCGATTATTGTGTCACAAAGGGGGGGGGTTGCGATTTGAAGAANGGGGGGGGGGGGGGGAATTTTGGGGGGTCCCAAAAGCAGCTAACATTGATCGATGAACATCCCAAAGTTTCGTTTCAAATTATTAATTAGGTCAAATTTTAGAGGGGGTGGAAGGGACTTTTGGGACACCCTGTATTTAATATTTACCTCAGATATACATCCCTGAACCAGCGAGAAAATCTACTCTAGGAAAATTTGCAGGTGATACTGTATATATGTCTAGCCGTAAGGAACAAGAACAAGCAACCCTAGAAATAGAAGAGAATCTACAAAGAGTATTAAACTGGACCAAGGAAAAATATATTAATTCAAATTGTGATAAAACTGCGAACAAATTATTGTCAACCCGTACTATTAAAGAATTAGATATAATGTTAAGCAAGTTCTGTTAAAATTGTCCCATGTCGCCAAATACCTAGGATTATATTTAGATACCAAAACCAAATGGAAAGAACACATACAGATTAAGAGAGATGAATGTATCTACAAAAATATATTAAAATGGCTCATTGGACGTAAATCCAATTTAAGCATAAATAATAAACTCTTATTGTACAAACAAATCATGTGGCCAACCGGGGCATATGGATCTCAGATCTGGGGGTGCGCAGCTCCCTCTAATATACAAATCATTCAAAGAATGCAAAACCGTGTACTGAGCAAAATTGTAGGTGCACGATGGTATGAGAGAAACAAAGACATACATAGAGATCCAGGCATAGAGACGGTGGCCCAACATTTTAATAAATTAGCCATTAATTACGAAAAACGTCTACATAGCCATCCAAATACTGAGGCACTCCTGCTGTTAGATAACATTACAGAGACAAGACGCCTCAAGAGGGTGAAGCCCTGGGAGCTGGCGAACCCCCAGGTCTGAACCAATAGGTATAAGACAAAACAAAACAATACATATACTATTAATGATGTAAACTACTCTGTCTTTTGCAATATCTACTTTATTTTTAAGGTTAGTTACAAAGTGTAAAATTCTAATGTGTAGAAGTTCACAATAAATGCTTTAAAAAAAAAAAAAAAAAAATAATAATAATAATAATAATAATAATAATAATAATAATAATAATAATAATAATAATAATAATAATAATGATAATAACCAGAGATGGAGAGACAACGATCCTGTGGAACTTCCCTATCAGAACCGATAGAACTGTTGAGGCAAACAGACCGGACATCATCCTACGTAGGAAAGGCCAAACGTGTCTGCTGATTGACGTCTCTATCCCAGCAGACAGGAACATCACAAAAAAGGAAGCTGAGAAGAAACTAAAGTACATATATAAAGACCTAGAGATCGAAATCAGCAGGATGTGGAAGACCAAAACCCGAGTCATACCCTTTGTGATAGGAGCTACCGGAGCAGTCTCTAAAGACTGGACTAAACTGAAGAACGAAATCCCTGGGAAACATTCGCTAGTATTGGCCCAGAAGTCTGCTGTGTTAGGCACTGCCAGAATCCTCCGGAAGGTCTTAAGCTAGGTGGAGCAGCGCGAATACACCTAGAACGTTCCCACACACCAAAAACACCCCTACCGCCTACCACCTCAGGAAAGAAACCTTTAGGCAGGCGTCCTCCAGACACCTACCCTGCCTCGGTTCCTAAAACAGGTATCCTAGTCCGTGACGAGCCACCCCCCAAGGGGGAGTGAAATAACCACCACCCGGCCACCCAAACCACAAACAGCCCTCATACCTAGGAGCATTGTTTGCCCCTGTGTGAGGGCTTAAAGCAACCCAGCAAAGCTGGTGACAGCAATGAATATGAGAAATAATAATAATAATAATAATAATTATAAATTGCTTTTATAATCGATGTAGCTGTGCCGTCGGCAGTGAATATCCAGAGCGCTTATGTTGAGAAGATAAGCAAGTACATGCCTTTGGCAGACGAAATCAAGTGCCTCTGGAAATTGGACAAAGTAATAATTGTGCCAATTATTATTGGAGCAACTAACGGGGGAGATTCCTGTGAAGTTGTTTGATAGTCTTAGGAAGATCAACCTTAGAGAGAAGCTGTATCAACAATTGCAGAAAGCAGCTTTGCTAGGGAGCTGCAGGATTGTGAGGCGAGTTCTGGGTGATGGATAGTTACCACCAACCGATAGATTAACCTGCATTTTAAACTTCAACTTTTAATTTCTACCCCAATTTTAAAGTTTTAACTCCAACTTTAAAGTTTTAACCCCAATTTTAAGTTTTTTTTTTTACTCCAAGTTTAAAGTTTTAGTCCCAATTTTAAATTTTGTACTTCGATTTTAAAATTTTAATCCCAATTTTAAAGTTTTAATCCCAATTTTAAATTTTTACTTCAATTTTAAATTCAAGGACTCTCCTTCGCATTGAATTGCCGGGGGAGGACTAAATATCTGCCGGCCTCGAGCTGTGAATTGAGATACGAGAAAATAATAATAATAATAATAATAATAATAATAATAATAATAATAATAATAATAATAATATCGGCGTGCCCGATCCTTGCCAAAAAGGACTACATAGAACGGCATGACAGAGTGTGCACCCATCTCCATCATAACCTGTGCAAAGAGTACAATATAGCAGTCGAAACAAACTGGTACGAGCACAAGCCAAAAGCTATCACAGCAACGGATGATGGACAAACAACTATCATATGGAATGTTCCTGTCAGAACTGATAGGACGGTTCCGAACAACAGGCCTGACATCATACTGCGAAAAAGGGGGCAAACTTGCTTGCTTATCGACGTGTCAATCCCAGCGGATAGGAACATATCATTGAAGGAAGCCGAAAAAAGACTCAAGTATAAAGACTTAGAAATCGAGATAAGTAGAATGTGGAAAGCGGACACGAAAGTCATACCCTTCGTAATCGGCGCGACGGGAGCAGTCTCGAAAGAATGGAAGAAATTTAAGGAAGAAATCCCTGGGAAGCACTCTCTTGTCACAGCTCAGAAAGCAGCAATCCTCGGAACTGCTAGGATACTGAGGAAAGTCTTAAGTTGAAAACCTTAACCAAAGAATCCATACTCATTTGTTCCCCCACAACCTAAACCCGTACCCCACCATCATCGACGAGAAGCAACCTCTGGATGGGCGTCTTAAGACACAGTTCCCACCCCGGTTACTGCAAACCTTATCGTCGGCTGTAAATTGGCCATTCATAGCCAAGTTAACACCGGCCTCAACCCACTCTACTCTCTCTACCAATGAGCATTGTTTGCTCACGTGAAGAGAGCCCAACTACCCAGCAAAGCTGGAGATAACTTCACATATAAATACATAATAATAATAATAATAATAATAATAATAATAATAATAATAATAATAATAATAATAATAATAATAATAATAATAATAATAATAATAATAATAATAATAATAATAATAATAATAATAATAATAATAATAATAATAATAATAATAATAATAATAAGTTAAAAAAATACCTTACTAATCAGTATAGGTACACCTCCAACTCGTAGAAACTGAATTTAAAAAAAAAAAAAAATCATGCAACAACCCCATTTGCATTGTGACCGGTACAATTCGGTATAATTGTTGTACGAAGGACGAGTAGGAAACGGACGTAGTCAGCGCAGCGGTCGGCCGGTCACTTCGGCTAAGTATCGATGATGACTGCGAGTTGGCAGATCATCACTCGGGGATTTTTCATTCCCGATTAAAAGAAACCGGTTTTATATGTATGTAACCGCACGCCGACGCAGTGTTTACGAATTACCATGATCAGCGATCAGTTAGTCGCGTTCTCCGCCGCTCAGTTGACGGCTCATCTCGTCACGCAATACTTGTTGAAGTTGTTGTTTTTTACACGTGTTCGCAGTTCCGCAACTTGTTATTCTGGCAACGAATTTTACGAATTTCTTCGGTGTAGTGTATAGTGCCCTCTTCCAATCATTGAGGATTGCCCGCAGAATCAATTTGTCACCGGAACACGGATACAAATTTTAGGTACCAAATTCGGCTTCCTTTTCATTCGGTCATTCCTCGATCGTTTCATCGTGCGAAGCGTTTTGACCCGCCGATCATTATCGTGTCCTGGCCTTTTTTAAACTGTGATGTCATTCCCTGTAAATATTCTGCTTAGACTGGTGCATCAGTATACGTGTTAATACTTACAATTAGCGCCTTTTCTCATCTTGGCGTCTGGTATCCGGTGTTGACAACGAAAAAAAAATCAATTTTCGTATTGAGGTCCAGTTTTACCAAAATTTGTAAAATTTACCCCTTGATAAAACAAAATTTTAAATGCTGTTTGAAGAATTGTGTGACCTAATCTTGTGCCTAGCAAAGCGATTTTCTCTCGGCGATGCGGTCCCCTTTTTTTCTGGGAGGGTTACGTGGTCTCCTTCTTCCCTACAGGAAACGGGGCTATGAGGAGGCCTCCCCGGAAAATTGGCCTCTCAAAGATACATTTCGAGGCTATTCTCGAGCTAAATTTGGCCGCATGCAATTTGCATGCTCAACTTTACTACAAATCCTCGAAAAACATCTCAAACTTGCTTGATTTTTATATTGCATTATACCTGCGTAATATAAATCTACCTGTTCCCAGGCTATTTTTCAGCATGCATTTTTTTATGGGGCACCAGATGATACGTGCATAATAGCTGCTTTCACATCACTCTCTGGTGCTCTGCGACATCCAGCCGTCAATTTCCCCTATCCGCTTAGAGCCTTTCTGATGGTTGACACTCCCCCATTTTTAGCGACGTAGGTAAAATAGCGCCGAGTGAAGGACGGCGACCCTCCGTCGCCGTCCTTCACTCGGCGCGGCGCGGCGTCGTCGCCTTTCAGGATGAACCCAAGGGAAAGGCAGGAACAGCATCATTTGCTACCTCTAATTCGCACATGGGAAGATTGTATAATGGGATATTTTAGAAGTCTCTATCAATATCTACTAAAGTAAAGAAAGAGTTTTAGTAATCTCTAACTAAAATTAAACTGACTCTTTAAGTACTTGGCAAAGTTTACTTAATGCGAACTGTTAATTGGTGATACTAGATACTAAAACCGGACCTGGTGAAGATTGCTCTTCGGTCTATAACATTTGACGGATACTTACTCGCTCACCACAATATAATGAAATGTCACGTGCCGTTAATTTTTTCCGACTATCAAAGACTAAGTATTAGGGTGATTTCACGATAATAGGAATAGTCGTGTCGCCGTGGGTTATGAACGACATAGGGAAAAACGATTGAAAACCAAATTAATTAATCAATAGGAATGATGTCCCTGAACCTATCCATGTTGAAAAATATGATGAATTATTATTATATTTAATAATATGAGACTTTAAAGGCCGAAAATGTCCGGTCGGTTACGCGTCGCCAACCCCGATTTTGAAGCAAAAGAGCAATTTGTGGTAACAAATCAGTACTGATCATGAACTCTTTGGCAATATTTGCTGAAAAGAGACTCTAGTGTTCAAGAAAATTGCCAGTTTGAACTGAAATGTTTATTATTGAGCGAGAAAAGTCATAAGAAAGAGGTGTCGCCACATTTGGCAACACATTTTTGCAGTTGTATTAAGTGCAGTGTTTATCTCGCCAGATGGAGTCAGGAGTTTCAAAACTGCCATCAAATTGTTCGCTGGAGTCTTCTTGACAAAACCATTACTGATAAGTCAGTTTTTTTTACAATGAAAACTTTAATTATTATGAAAACCAGTGATTTTTACGTGTGTAGCACTAATTCCTCACTACGCAAAAACTTCAATTTAATAGTATTAAACTAAAAGGAAGTCTCCAAAGTTTAGAAAACTTTTAAGGCAGCATTAATTCCACCCCGTAACTCAAGAATTGCCAAGTTTCATCTTTTGTATCATCTTTAATCTCACATTTTTGAGTGTCGGTTACGCTGTGTCTGTTACGTAACCGACACAATTTGGCAGGGCCGCCATGTTTGCGTGGTCCTCCAGCAGTCCCGCGGGAAGCGCTGATACCTGATTCAATGGCTTGTTTATCAATCACTTTAACTTTGCACTGAATTAAAATAGAGCGTGCCAAAGCTGGAAAAAGGAAGTTTAATACCTTTAAAATAAGGTAATGAAATCCTGTTAAAATTGGTGCACTTTTATTTCTAAGGTATTTCACATTTTAACTATTCCTGTTATCGTGAAATCACCCATTAGTTGCAAGATACTCCTCCAGAGTTGACAAAGTCATTTATACCATAAAATCGTGTCTTGCAAAAGTGTTTTTTCAGTCTTTAGTTATTTTGGGTTCATAATACCTTTCAAAGTAAAGTTTTAAACCCCGGAAGTGGTGTAGGTACTTAAAGACTCGTTTTGGGGTTATTTCACTCATAAAACAAATCCTTATACAACTTTCATAATTTACCAAGTCTTGAAAAGTATTGTTATAATGGGAAAACTCAAAGATACAGCAATATAAAAACATGGACCTTGCCTGTTTTCGCATAACGCGATTCAGTTGGAGTCACCTATTTTAAGAAATACGTATTGGAAGTCTCAAACTTACGTGGATGAGCATGGTGGAATAAAAGTTCAAACTTACGTTTTGATGTTTAAAAATTGGATTCTATGAATAATTTTGTTTGCAGAATGTATTTTAAGACTCGTTATAGTCATAGAGTACATAGAGTCGTAATGTAAATGGGAGAGCTGGCGCCATGTTCTGCTCGACGAATTCCGAGCCCGGTGTGCGCCGAGTTCGGGTCGCTTTTTCGATACATTTTCTATCCAAAATGGCGGTGTGGAATACGTGGTAATTCCTATCTCCTTTGTTGTTGTTGTTGTTGTTGTTGTTGTCATCGGATGGCCGGGTACCCGTGTATCGCAAACAATCGATTATGTATCGAAAAAGTGACCCGGCGTCACACAGGAGTCTCGGAATTCGGGACATGGAAAATGCTTAAAAGTGGCGCCAGCTCTCCCACTTACATTACGACTCTATGTACTCTATGGTTATAGTCGAAATCATTAATACATCATACATTTTTACCTAATTGAGGTAAAGATTTGAAAACTTGTGGACCGTTCCTCGATCAAAGGGAGCTACTTTTTGCTCTCCTAAAATTTTAAGGGAACCCGCGGGGAGGGGGGGGCACCAACTTTTTTTTTCAAACAAAAATACCCCTCTAGTGTTACCTAATTCGAACGTACATATATAAAAAAAAAATCTGCGAAAACCCCGAAGTCCTCATCTCAAACCGTCCCAAAATGGCGGCTGGTTACGTCCAATTTGGCACCCCGGTGTTTTGCTGAAGGATTTGCCTGAGACTCGGTATCTGTGGGTATTTCAACACGAAAAAACGAAATTATTGACGTCAGATTTTTTTTAAAAATAAACTAGAATCTTTCAAAATGGCGGTCGATTTGAGTTCAAAATGACCGAAAATTGCCAACTTCGGTTTTATACCGATAGATTTGCCTGAAACTTGCCATCTGAAAGCACGACAAAATGGAAGTGGCGTTTTATAGATTTAAAAAAAACCGAGGTTGCAAATTTTCGGTCATTTTGAACATTAATTGGCTGCCATTTTGAAAAATTCTGTTTTTTTTGCTTTTGTTTTTTTGACATGTAACGTCAAAATCTTTATTTTCGTGTCATAAAACCCCACCTGTCGGTTGTAACCAAGTATCAAATCTATCAGCAAAAAACCAATTGCCAATTTTAGCCTCTTTGAACTTCAACCGGCCGCCACTTGGGACGGTTTGAGGTAAGTACTTCGGGTTTGCGCTGCAGAAATTTTTCGTTTTTTATATGTTCTTTCAAATGAAGCATCTTGAGTGGGGCCTTTCGATTTAAAAACAAATTTGGGGGAAGGGGCCTTCTGAAAATTTTAGGGGGGTCTAAAAGTGGCTCCTTTTGACCTAGGAACGTTCTCCAGGTTTCAAATCTTCACTTCAATTAGGTAAAAAGTTAGAGGGGGGTCGGGGATTTTTCGCTCACCCTGTATCTCAATTTTCTCCTAAATCAACTCATGCGCGTTGCCTTCCAAGCCCCTCGACTTAGTATTAGGTACCTATGGGTTTTTGGCGCGTATACGTAGTATACCGCCTTTGCGATCGTTTCGACCCCCCCCCCTCGATACAATAACCGAGTCCCCTAGTGTCTTACCGAAAAGTGACTGGCGCGAACTTTTGAGATTTTCCAAAGCGTGTAAAAAGTTTACTAATCCGTCAATAATAATGATTAAAATTTGTTTCTCATTCTGGGGCTCGCTAGTTTATGTGTAATGAATACCAAGAGTCTACGTTTCTTGGTTTTTTTTAAAAAAACCTTAGAATGGGGCGCGCTGATTTAAAATATGCATATATAAGCGGAAGCAAGCGAACTGATTCGAGGATGGCTGACCAGTTCGGCACTCCTTGAATGAGAATTTCACTCACTCCGTTTTGTTCACAACGTTGCTTTGACATATCTCCACAACACTGTTATCCTTTTCAAAAGTTGGTACTCCTTGCTCTGATAGCCGGGGCCACCAGGATAGTGGTAAGTGCAATCTGTGATGAGCCTCGAGACTCATTAGACCATTTGCTAAACGTGGCTCATACAGGAGTCCACTAAGCCCTCTCGTCCCCACGCTCCTGATCACTGCGTCGGCGTCACGAAGAACAATGGGCCTTGGGTCCCAACGCGGCCGATACCCGTACCCCAATTACTCACGCTTCATTAACCATTTCACCGTCACGCTAGGATTCATCCAATTTTCAAAAAAAATTGTTTCGCATGTATTTAGCAATTTTTTCCTTACTCTCCGTTAAAACACAAATAAAAAGAGACCTCATTCATAAAAATCGGCCGAATAGAAGAGAAGTTACAGTAATCGAAATCCGAAGAAATCAACAAAACCTCGACTCCTCGATACGAAAAATAAAATGAAGGGGAAAAAAAGAAAGTATAAATTACAATTAAATATAATTGACCTCAAAATTTGACAAACAATTCATTTATATACCTAACGCTGAAAAAACTGGGAGAAATTACAAAAAATTTGCCTCTTGCAAGGGGCTTCTTTGTAAGAATTTTGACCTGAAGACAACGGTCGAATAACAGCAGTACTCCATACAATACACGGTGTGCCTGAACGAGTTAAACATTTTTCATACGTCCAAATCGAAAAATCTTTATATTTTTAACTACAATGTTTCTTGAATCGTTTAAGCAAAAAAAAAAAAAAAAAAAATTCCGTCGAGATTCTGGAACGCAAAGGCGCTTTAAAAGTATTCTGGGGCTATAATAGCTAAATCACCGGTAGTAAATTCGTTATATTATTAAAAAGAAATTGACTCCATAGTTTAATTCCTTAGTTTCTTGAATACGATTATTTTAAGCACTTAAACATTTATACCACCAATTTTAGCCATGGGGTGATTTCCTGAGAGCCGATAATATCACGAATTTCTCATAGAACCCCTCAACAGTGGCTTGCTTTTTTGGCAGCCGATTCGGCCATCGAACCGGAGTTTAAATGGAAGCTGATAATAACCCAAAGCTCTGAGAAAAATTTTGAGATGAGTATAAGAACGGTTTGTTGTAAGTAGCGAGGAGAGGCGGGCAAAGCGGCTAAAATCCTATCTAATTTTTACAGTTTTTCTGTTGAATTAATGTTGCCGCGGGCTTCTGACTGTCCACACATAGTTCTGTTCAGCATATCGATACATAAGTATTTACATTTTACATACGTAGAATCTAATTTTCACGTCGGGGAGTTGACATATTTTGATTTTTTCGATTTTATACGGAAAATTGATGGTTTTTCGGGATTGAAATTATTATTGTTTCATGAAAAATAAATGCACCCAAAATGACTATAGCATATTGATTCTTACACATTTGCACTCACAAAATTGGTTGGTAAATTCAACGAGTGGGTGCATCGACCTGGTATATCAAGTTTCTGCAATTTTTTACGGCAAATCAGTAGATTTTCGGGATGTAGATTGCTTACTTTCAATTCATGAATGAATAAAGCAACGACATGGTTGAACTTCTTTGCATGGAAAGACGTTTAAAATAACAAAATCAAGACGTATTTAATGCAATTGCATTTATATCGAGTCAATTTCTTTTCAATAATATAACGGGATTTTTACTACCGGTGATTTGGGTATTTTAGCCCCAAAATACCTTTAAATCGACTTTATCTTCTAGGAGTTCGACAGAATTTTTCCTTTCTTCGCTTAAATTATTCCGTAGCACTTTTCTTCAAGAATCTGATAAGATTTTGCTTGAGGCAGATCAAAAAACTTAAATTCGATCGAATAGCTTTCTACTTTCACAATACACGGTCTCGTCAAGGTGCGTCTTTGACCTCGCAGTGTTGGATCGTGAATTCTCTTGTTGTGCTGTTTGCCTTTTTTGAAATCTCTGTAAATGAAAACTAAAGGGGTTGATATGTGCGAGTTAATGACGCGCCTTATCAACACATTGTGTTGGAGTTCACTGCTTGTTTTTCTTTTTTTTTCTTTCTTTTCTTTTCTTCTACAGAGAGCAATCGTCGTCGCGGCGCTTGCGCATGCGTCGAATGCTGCGCTGCGTAAAGGCGGAAAAAGTCAAGAAAAACACAGGGTGCGACTTGGGGAAGGTAAGAATTGGAAGTATTACTTACCTGCCGGAACGGTTATCATACCTAACTCAGTGTTTTCCACCTCCGCTTAAGCGTATATTCGGAATGCAGAAAATGAAGGATAACTGTATTCCTATAATAATTTCATGCATTCTGAGTGCCTCCAGCTTGAGTTTTCATTTGGTCTGCCACTAATTTGACACACATTTCAGCAGTAGTCACATCCCAGCGATATCATACTTGATGAAAAATCAACAGTCGAAAATGTTAAGTCCACCTCATGAGCCCTAAAATCCCCCAAAAATGACATTTAAGTTTTGCTTTGTCAACAGGATTTTGGCAAAAGTTGGTGAGACCGGACCAGGGAGATGCGATGTACTGATAATTTTACTGAAAATTATATTAACCTTAAGTAGAGATCCCCTGAGCGGAGAAAATTTCATGAAATGAAGTCAAATCAAAAGCAGGGGGCGAACGGGAAATCCCAGATGAGATCACCTCTCTCCCTTGCCGGCGCGCGCGGGCCCTCATACATTGGATTAGATTAGATAGGGATCCACGTTTAAATGCCATGTGAATTGCGGAGCAAATTAATCAGTCCGGGCAAATCCGAAGTGAACTTTTCGAAAGAAGGTAGAAAATTTGAAACATTTTCCAAATTTCCTTGCTCAGGGATGTGAATATTCGAAGGTGGAGGAAACCAAAGATCAATCATCTATACAGGTACAAATAGGGGGGTTAGGTAGGGCAGCGGCAATTAAGAAATTTTTGCAGGGTTGTCGTATATTCCTTCTTTTGTAAATTATCGTGGAAAAACCCGAAATAGGTTCATTATGCAGTTCGAGCTTTTTTAAGAGGAAAATAGTTAATCTAAATCCGACCAATCAAGACCGTCAGTCGAGTTGACGTAGGAAGGCGAAGCCTGAAGCTGAGTTCTGCCAATCAACAAACGCCCTTTCCCTCGCGCCTTGTTACGTCATCAGAGCAGGGCTGGATTAACGATTTTGCCGCTGTGGACACGCGGAAAGCCGTCCCGGAGGGGTGACCGGGGGGGGGGGGCCCCCCCCCCCCCCGAAAAATTTGGAAAATCTGACCACTGTAAGGTGCAATTTTAGCCCATTTTTTACTTTTATTGTTTAATCAAGAACTTAACTTTAGATGATTTTAAATAATAAGCTCATTTGTGTAAAGGGATGTCAGGCATCACTCTACTGACACTAGCTTATTGTATTGTATTGAAAATATGAAAAACAAGTAATTGAAAAAGTATAATTAGATTGCCTGACCGGGTTCCCACGCGGGGGTCTCACAACTCAACACGAGCAGCCATTGGCGAGGCTACACTGAAAAAAAGTGAGGTAAAATTAAGGTGATCCCACCCGCATTCGATATCGATATCGATATCTATACGTCGACGGATAAACGTCTTTTGTGACTTTGCTTTTGACTTTTTTTTTCCATTTCAAATTTTCAGGGGCGGTATTTTTTTTTTTTTTTTTTTTTTTTTTTTTTTTTTTTTTTTTTTTTTTTTTTTTTTTTTTTTTGTTTCTCGATTTCTGCCACCCCCAAAAATTTGCCGCTGTGGGTACAGGCCCACTTTGCCCCTACGGTTAATCCAGCCCTGCATCAGAGCCTACCAAAAATACTGTTTCAAACGGGTCCCATTTTGGCATTTTCAAAATGGGGTTTCTTTGTCTTCAGTATGACTAATCTGAAAACATTCCCAGAAGCGTAGTTCACTCCGAGCTAAAATTCAACATTCTGGCATGTTTGGTTTAGGTATTCGTTATGGCGAGACCGACGTGAGCTGTGTCTTGCGGCTGCAACATTTTTAAAAAGGGGTGATTTTTAAGTATTGTATGCGGAACTTTTGATAAATAGGGATCGATGTCTAATATACCTACATATAAAATAATGTAATACATTCTTTTTTCTCCCTTGTTGATTTTTTTCTTTTCAATTTTAGAAATACCTAACTCTGCAAGAGAGATTAAGTGAATGTATTTTCATGAGCATTACGAGCTCAAGTTTAATTAGGTATTCAATGTTCGACCTCTCCCCATATTTTGATACTCAATTCCTTTTTGAACTTACCTGAAATGCGAAATGGATGCGAAGGCCGAGTTCCTCCCCCTCTAATGGTGCCCCTACTCCACAATACCTACCACTCTAGGTAGAACAAAAGAGGTTTAATAACTCTATGGACTTCCGTTGGACTGCAGGCAGGGTTGCACGCGTGAAAAGAAAAATATGAATGATTGGAAATTTCCGTGAAATATTTCGTGAAATCTTACGAGGCTGTGAAGTATTTCATATTTTTCAGGGGCTACGGTATGCAACCCGCGCTTAAATACACAAAAATAGAAGACAGTTACAAGTTTTACATTTTGCGGAATATGAAAAGGAATCGGGATTTTTAAATATTTTCCAGAAATTTCTGAAATTTCAAAAGTTTATTTTTCATGAAAAATTGCTACCCTGACTGCAGACCTCATTCTACCCGCGCTTAGGTTGTAGGGTAGACTGGGGTTAAGTGGGCACCATTTTGTTTGAAAAATCATAAAACAAATTTGGTGATAGATAGAGTTAATCTTTAAAGTACAATGTCTTCAGTATAATGTAAGGTATCTGCAAAAAATAGTATGTTTCATTTTTTTTTCTTCATGGTCAAAATTTAGATTTTGTAAAAAATGGGAAAGTGCTCAGTTAACCCCGTGGGGTGGGTTGACTGGACACTAAGATGAAAAAGCATACTTTTGAAAGAGGAAACTTTTATTAAGTCAAATGAACAAGTGGAAAAGTCTTAAAAATTAAAGAAATACATCTGAGGATGATTTTTTGTTTGTCTTAATACTTATATACATTTTCACTAAGAGATACGGAAAACTTATTTCAATGACTTCTGAATAGGTCCCATGGTTGGTTGTCCTTTTTCTCCTTTTAGTTGTTAAAATACTGCAATTAAAATCAAAAAACAAGTTTTAGTGAATGTTTTGGCTAACTTGTAATCTATGGGGTTAACTGGGAATGCCCTCTTTAATCCCATTTGGTAGTGTTCAGTTAACCCCATTTGGTAGTGTTCAGTTAACCCCATTTGGTAGTGTTCAGTTAACCCCATTTCGGAATTTCAGAGAAAAAAAATCATAAATAGTACTCAATTGGAATAATTACCAAAGTAATCACTGGAAATAGTACATAAAACTATAGATGAAACAATAAAGCACTTACCAAAGTCTTCCTCAAAAGCTAGATATGTCATTTGGGCTTCAGTTCACAGCACCGGGAATTTACTTTTCGCCCCACGAAACACGTTTGTAAACATAACTTCAAAAAAAACAAAGATTATCAACTCGGCGCAAGGTACACTAGTAAGGGTCTATAAACTGATGAAATTGACGCGTAGTTGGTTTTGAGTATGCCCACCAGGTGGCAGCTGGGTCGAGTGTTCAGTTAACCCGCCGTGCCCACTTAACCCCAGGCTACCCTACGCTGTACCTTTGAGTCCTCAGCATCATACTCTCTTAAATTGTCTTCAATAAAAAAAAAAAAAACAAATTGTCCGAGAAACTTGTGAGTGGTTCCCCTCCAATGTTCCGGAGACTTTTTATCGCAATTGAATCTAAAATATTTGCAATTCAAGGTGAAATATTTATAACCCTCCTCAAATATAAATTAAGTAGTCGGGGGAGAGATAACGCCCGAATATTCATGACGCATTTTTTCTTGACAGGGTGGTCATCATAAGTGCAGCGGCGCGCGATGGGATGATTAATTCAATAGATTTGTTACAAGCCGCGCGCCAAAATAATAGACCGTGAATAACGCGGCTCATTAGAGGAGGCTCCGGGGATTCCATTCTAAAGAAACTTTGAGATTTTATTGGACGAAATAACGGGTTTTGCTCCGAGAACCAGCTGTCTACCTCTGATGGTAAACCCGTACAGCTAACTTTGATAATTTTTCATTGGAGGGCAGAAACTCGACCACGCAGTGATAAGAAAGTTATTTTTTAGATTAGGAAACTGCATGATATCCATGCGTGTTCTGACCGTGAATTTAGAGGAAACAGAACCCCAGTAAAAGTGCGCCGGCCTGAGTCAGTGTGACTCACTATCAGTCTGACGTCAAGCTGACGCCAGCGGGTTTATAAAACTTGGCCGTCGAGGGGGAGGGGGAGAAAGGGGGACTTATTCTTTTGATCAATCATTGTGTTTTTAATAAGCATGAGAAAAGCGTGTGTGGAATGTGATACAATTATTCTCCGTTCTTTTTCTAGGTGGCTGACACAAGGAATCGCGCACATTTTCTGTCGAGCGCTGAGAAACGTACCATGTCCACACACAAACGGACCTATTCGGCATCATGATTTACGCCACTTCTCAAGGTCACGCAACGCCGCATCTTCAGGTAATGTCATTGCGATAGCATACCTACGTACCTACTTACCTCAAAGAATTCAGTTTCCCGGGACATATCGCCGCGCCGCCGTGGCGTGGTGGCCCATCACACCCTCAATTTGGCGAATCGCTGCTTTTAGAGAATTTCTGCAGTCGATGCGGCGCGGCGCCGTGCTAACTTATTGACATAAATGTGTTCCAGGGTGGGTTTCTAGTGTATTTATCGAAGTAAATACACTATTGCATTCTTCCTTGATGTCAGACCTGGACAAAAGACCACTTACCACACCTAATCAACATGGATCATGGGCCGTAAATTACGAATAAGTAGATATGTATGTATGATTGTATGCCGTTCGGAGTCTTTTTTATATGAGTGTGTGTGTTTATTCATGAAAGTATTTCCGACTCGTCGTGTTTTTCAGATTTTCGCTGGGTTTTATCCCCCTCGTTTTAAATATTTTTCTGGTTGAAATTTTTTTCGATGTAAAGTAGAGAGACAGGACTTTTTTTCAACGAAAAGAAACTGGAGATGCGGTTTTATCCTTCCGATAGCTGGGAAGAGAAGTGTGTGTGAGGGTGAGGGTGTGTGTGGGGGGGGGAGTTCAATTTTCTAGTCTCGATAACTCGCGTAAATATCGAGTTTTCGTTCAAACTATCACAGAAGTGACATCTTATCAGCACTGGGCTGGTATTAAATTTGAGCTAAATCGGCGTAGCCGTTTAAAAATGTCGAACGTTTTAAGGTGAATCCAGGCTTGGAACTTCGCGATTTGGCCTCCACGTCGCGCTGCTCAGAATAGCCGCATATATTTGCCAAAATAATAAAAACCGTAATACTTCTTCAAGATTGGAGATCCAGGGGATATGGCAACATACTTGAGGAACACTCAGTAAAAAAATCTTCTCAAAATTCCCAAAAATAAAGTCTTAACTACGGCGGAAAGTAATTCCCATTGCGGCAATGGGAGAGAGAGAAACAGAACAAGAGGGATTCCGTTGCGCGCTCGGCCGCCGCCTCTGAGCTGAAAGTTTCAGCCGTACTTTCTCTGCGCTTGTAATTCTAATTGCCAATATTTTTGGCTCAAAAAATCAAGCAAAAATTAATCTATATCTTGTGGATCTACTTTTTGTAATTCGAGGAAAATTATTTCAGTAATCGTCGAAGGAAAGTGAAATTCTCAGTGGTGACCGGTGGCGCTATCTCTAATCTTGAATTATCCCTAAGCGAACCCTGGATTCACCTTAAATAGGCAAGGTGTGCAATTGTGCATAGACTGGAGAAAGCCAGGCCGCACAGCGGGTCACGGGCGGGAAGTATTTGAACAAGCTATTCGGCGCACAGTGGGTTAGAGGCAAAAACATTTAAGATACATGTTCTGTAGCACTGTGGATCGCAAAGTTTTTGAACCAACTTTTATCACACATCGGGTTGTAGGAAGGAAGTTCTTGGACAAACTGTTTTTAAACCCTGGTTTGAAGTTATAAGTTGACAACTATCAATTAGTATGCCTCTCTAAAAGTGATGCTGAGTTGATACTTATTCTGCGGGAAATACACTCTTCCCGGGGTGGATGCGCGAGTCCCTCAATAACTAAACCCGCATAACCATGCAGAGAGAAAAAACCGAGAGCGGAGCGTCATTTTTCTCTGAATCGAGATAAAACTGAAGACACTACAGGATTGCTCAAAATGATAGAGACAACCCCGCACAGTCGGCTCTTCTAGATCCAGGTTTTTGACGGAAATTATCACGAATTAAGTGCTGCTGCAATGCTGCATGTCTTTCCTCCTCCTGTTGGTATCTCCTGCAGAAATTCCCTCATAGTTTTTGATCAGCCAACCGTATAGATTCGATGCTGTAAACTAATGAGAGGTTATCATTTTCAGACATGTATATTTCTTTTGATCACTCTGCCGGTTACAATCAAAGCCATTTTCCATCCTGAATCTCCATGCCCAACTGTATTCAACTATGAAGGAAGAGAGCCGGAGTTTGACAGATGGTATGGAGAGGTACAACTCGTCTCAAATGACAATTTGGTTGGTGTTGTTCTCAACATAAACTTCGACCGAGCCACTCACTTGCTTGTGGTAAGACATGTAACTTATTTTACCAAAGAAAATGAAGTCTTAATTAATCCAAATTTTTGGCCATCAGCTCAAACTGAAAGTAGCCTGAGGTTTCAAAATCAATTAAAGTTTCTATCAAATTATCACAATAGGAGTTAAAAGCTATAACAAGAATTCGTGAGAATGCCAATATGAGGAGGATGTCTTTCTTCTAGGGTTACTTGTTTTAATTTTGAACGCATAAAGTTATGGGGGTAATTATTTATAAGAAGGTGCGAACAAAGAGTGGAAAGAGTAATTGTCAAAGTCTTTTAAGATAGTCTTGAAGTCAACATTTGAATGAAGTTTTCATTTTTTGTTTTTATTCTCTTAAAGAAAATTTTTTGTAAATATTTTCAGTCTTGGACAGGAGAGGTAACGACTGAGGACAATATGAAATATACTATTCTAGATTTAAATCAGCGGTTAGTAGCCAAGGTTCCAGTTCTCTCTCGTTTAATGGTCAAGTTCAATGGTACTAAGGGTAGCCCACGCATCAAAACTATTCGACTAAATGGAAGACAGATATGTCCGCCAGAAGACCGTGAGTATTACCTAATTTCGAATATCCCTCCGTACAGTCAAATTAGTGATAATATTTGATGAACAAGTTTATCAGGATAAATCACGGAAAAATTTGCACAGGGTGTCTCAAGAGTCAAGTCCACCCCCTCTAAAATTTTACCTAAATCATATTTTGAAACACAACTTTAGAGATGAATCAATGTTACCTTCTTTTGTTGACCCCAAAATTTTCGAGGACCNGGGGGGGGGGGGGGGGGGGGGGCTGTGGACCCAACATTCATTTCATACATATCAATCGAAAGAGGACAAGTATAGAACATTTTTGCGCAAACCACAGGTCGCCATTTTGATTTTTGACAAAATTAGTGACCCCCAAGTGACAAAAACACCGTGAGGTGGGGGTCCAGCCCATAAGATGGGTCAGAGCGCGTGACGCGCAGTTCAGGGTCACCTGCGCTACCCTAAGCGAGGCCGAGGCTCGGGCCACAGCTGTCATTCAGAACAGCACGGTGTTGACAGCACAAGTACAAGGGAAGAGCAACCTCAGAATTGCCTTCCACAGGGTCCCGGTCGGTCTCCCGACTGAGGAATTGACCACAATCATCCGGGAGCAGACCGGGGTAGACACCGGCTATGAGTACAAGTATACTTTCGGGAGCAGGTTGGCGACTACCAATGAAAGGTAAATGAAAGGTAATTTCCAGGAGAAAAATTTTATTTCTCATCAATTTTTCTGTTAGGCTTCCATTTTTTTGTAAATTGGAAAAAAACTTTCAAATTTTTGGACACTTTTAGGGTCAAATTACTTTTTGACAGTTGAAGTAAAAATTTGGGGTCTGTTCTGTAGGTTGCCCTCTGTGGGAGACTGCGGAAATTTTGGGTGGCCCCAAACGTAGCGAACATTGATTCATGAGGATGAGTTTAGTTTCATACCCATCACGATGTTGAAAAATATACACACATTTTCTTTAAAAGATAGGCTTATTCGGGATACCACAATGGAAATTCGGAGAATCAAGAGCAAGCGCTTCCAGCATAGCGTGTTGCTACCTCCCACTTATTTTTTTTTTTTTTACTTACCTATCATAAATCATTTGTATTTTCCAAGCAGCAGAAAGGCCATCTGTTGACCTCACCTAAATATTTGACTGTAGAAACATAAAAATTTAGATAAGTAATTCTGTCCAAGAAGTTTTGACCTTATTGCATAACACTAATAACTTGAGTGATGTATTTTAACTGGTATTAGGTACTCTATTCGCAATGGTACAACTTCTGATATCATACCAAAATTCTTCTTTCTCTGACATTATGAAATCCTTCTAAGGGAATTATTTGCGTTAGATGCTATTTCGATTGATAATTTACGTCACCGATTAATTTATGACATTGACCTCTTTTCCTCAATTTTTATCTTAGTTCAGCTCTTCCGCTCTCATATTATGAAATGCTCATCCTTCAGGCGCTGAGTTGTGCTATAAAATTGGTACTAGGGGGTGCTTTAAGGTGGGCCAAAAACGGCGTTTTTTCCAGAATCGAAACGGAAAAGTGCGGAAAAGTCGCATGGAAACATAACTTTAAGGCCTATCAAAGAGTTTTTTTTTTCCAAAAAATGTTTTGAGATCACGCCGCTGCCGTTTGGTTTTGTAAAAAATAAATTTTTTAATTGATACGTAATTTGCCGATTTGAAAATATATTTTATGCAAGATCGCAATCAGCCATAGCCCTAATTTTGCCTTGCTTACTACTGTAAGGAATGATGGTTATTTTTTGGATTAAAATAGTTTAGAAGCCCCCCCCCCTTCCCATGCCCCTAGAGACACCAAAACCGCGATTGTGAACTGAATTTTGATGGTTAGTTTTTGGATCAATATAGTTTTTAAGCCCCCCCTGACCCCCTTCTCATGCCCCTAGAAACAGTAAAACCGTGATTGTGAACTACATTTTAACGATTTTATCGATTATTTTAGCATTTTGGCAAACATGCAGACAATCAGATATTGAGCTTTAGGGACCAATCTAATAACAGATAAAAAAATAAAATTTAGTTTGCCGGATGTGGGGGGTAGGGGGGACCCTTTGGAAGCTCATAGCTCGGCCAAACCGTTCAATTTTGCCAATTTGTTGCAGCAGCTGCTGCATATATGTTGCTACATCAAATTTGTTGTAGCTTAGTTGAGCAGCCACAAAAAATTGGAGTCGTGATATTGCTTTACTCTGAGTATATTACAAATGGACTGCATTTTGCAATTTGGAATTATAAATTCTGGCTCTTCTGGGTAAACATTTATGTGCATACGGAAACTAATGGAGCATACGTTGTTTTTAAACCGGTCTAGAATTTATATAGTTCCAAATTGCAAAATGTAGTCCAAATATGGTAAGGTATGCAATATTTATTTTCTCTTGAAAATATCGTATTTATTTGTTTCAGCTGTTGTGAATGAACTCCAGCAAAAGCCGAGGGTAACAACAGACAAAAATAATCGCGTAGTAACAAAACGCCCTGATCCTAATTTTCCTGACACTTACCCAACGCCGAGTTACTACGACAAGGATTTCATGCCCCCTAGCACACCAAGACATCGAACGACAACAACTGAGAAGTACATTGACGTAGAGGAATCTCCATACAACCAGAAACCTCCTTACCAGTCATCTTCCAATAGTGGAAATAAAAATAAAGACGTTGCAACAGCAAATTCGTACGATAATTACGACAGTGGTTACAGACCATCCAACAATCAAGGTGTAGAAACTGATAAAGCTTACAGTAGACCATCATCTGGGAACTATGTGCCACCAAAAAATCCCTCCTATGAAGTTTCCAACACCAATAAAAATAAGCCCAGTCATTTTGCAGGGGAGGATGAAACATCATATGCAAGTAATGTTGATAGACCGGTTGGACCGTCAGGTTCAAAAAATCCTTACAGTCAGCAAAGTAACATTAATTATAATCAACAATCAAGTGCATCTAACAGTGGAAGTTACAATTCACAAAACGGAGGAAACTCAGCATCGAATGGACGACCTACAAACAAGAAACCAGTAAATCATGGTGGCTACAGTGATGTAGATGAAGTCAATAGCTATAATTCTGGGAGCCAATCGTCAGTCAACAGTAATAAAAAACCCTTCATGACCACAAATCTCAATAATTTTAATGAAGGTAGTAACTACAATAATCAAGGTGGTCAGTCCAGTTATGCTGAAGAAAACTCACGGCCTACAAGTGTCAGTACCGGGAGCAAAAAGCCAGCAGGCAGCAGTGAAGGCTACGATGGAGACCATGGTTACAGTGCTGCAAGCCACTCATCTGTAACCAGTAATAAAAAACCATCATCTACTTCAAATAACAAAAATTATAATAAAGGTAATAGTTATAATAATCAAGGTGGTCAGCTAAATCACCCTGAAGATGAACCGCGGCCTACAAGTATTAACACGGGTAACAAAAAACCATCAGGCAATGATTACAATAATTTTGAAGGAGATAATGGATACCCTAGTTCCAATAGTCAGTCTAATTACAATGCAAATAAACCAAAGCAACCTGTCAACCATAACACAGAGAGTAATGGAGGTCACCCCTCTGGCTCTTCCGTTGTGAATCCATCACGGCCTACACATATCGAGCACATTCCAACAAGCAGCAGCAGCCAAGTAGGTTCTAACAACAACAATTACAATAATGGTGCCAGTAACAATTTCAACAGCGGCAGTAACTCTGGTTATAACGGTGAGGGTGCAAGTGGTTATAATGGTGGTGCAAGTAACAATAATTACAACACTGGAACGAATGGCTACAACAGTGGAAACAATAATAATTTCAATGCTGGTATGGCTCAACCATATCAACCATCAAACACCGGTAACAATAACTACCCTGCTGGCATTGACAAAACCGATAGTTTGAATCTTGGAGATGTGCAACCAGCTAAAAGTGAGAAAACTGTCATCATTACATCAATACACAAAAACACTTATGTGGTACCAGCTGGAAATAAAAAGGATGAGGAGCTTGGCTACAACAGTAATAGTCCAAATGAAAACAGTTATAATGGCAACTCCAATCTTAATAGTGTCACAACACCTAAATATGATGAATTCAATCCTGGTTCCAAGCCATCAGTCATAATGAAACCTTCTGGTCAAAATTCGAACAAACCAAGCAATGGAAACTCCGGAGGAAGTGGAAAGAAACCTGCTCAAAATTCTAAACCACAGTCAAATTCAAACAAGGACGAACCGTGAGTACGGAAATCATTTGATAAATCTTATTTATTTTAAATTGCTACGCTAATAAAAGTGGGTATTAGTTTCTTAGTGGGACGTCAGCAAACCATTATCAATGCATCTGCATGAGCTGAACGCTATTTTCCCTCAGACTTGCACTGAAACTCTCCAGAGTTCAATTTATTCTTCTAAGTATATTTTTTATACCTCTGACTTCGATTTTCCCTCAAAATAAAAAAGACTCACAATCAGCACTACATTAATATCCGGTTAATCTCGATATTCACAGCATAATTTTAATGTTACTTAAATTAATCAATCATGTCCTGTCTGTGACTCTCGGTGGTAACTTGTTTCTTCTTCTTCCTCTTCAAAAGTCACCACCCAGATCTAGTTTACCCAGATCAGGCAGGATTCGACAGGGATCTAGGCGTCAAAACATCAACGGAAGCAGTCAACCACAAAAATTTGACCTAAACATGAAACATTTAGGGAAAAAATGTAATCTATACTATAAGCTCCGAGGCCTCCTAATTTTGCGTAACTGGTAACGCTTAGTTACAGCGTTCTACCGGGCCGATTTTCATGATTTTTGCGGTTACCAACAGGTAATAAGCCGTAATTGAGCCCGCTCTAATCAGATTTTGGAAGTGAGACCCAGGTTATTTTACAATCAAGTTATAAAAGTGAGCTAATTTACAGAATGCTCCGCAACCCGCTGCCGCTATGCGCAGGAGGTTGCGCAGTGGCTGAGTGAGTAGCCTGTGCATCAGCTCTACGCACTTATCAACACAAGATTCGCCTTGGTCACTTCAAGACGAGCGGTGGCCGAGTCGTCCGGAAACGTCCACATGTTTCAAAATGTGGGTTCGATTCCTGATTCCTCAGCTACTTAATTATGACCTGATTATCATTATTCGCTGTTTTACTGCAATGTTTCATTAATCAGTCATTCCAAAACGCGTCCTTTTGACTTCAAAAAAAGTTTTTTTCTTTATTTATCAAAAACAAAAATCATTTCATTCTAAAAGTAAACTATATATCATATCGTAATTTATTAGGGAAAAAATAAAACCAACACTGACAGGAGGGTAAAAATAGGGCCGCGAAGCGGCCCATTGATGACGCGGTGCCCTCACGGGGTTGGCCCGCGTAGCGGCCAAGGGGCGTAGCCCCCTAGTATTACCCCTATATATCCACTTAAGTTCGAATGAATTTGAATCAACCATATGGTCAGTTCATGATCATGCAAGTGCCTTCCTTTTCTACTGGTTACATCTGCCTGAATATTTGAACTTCCCAATCAAATGAGTGATGTGAGTGCTGATTTCAGCTTCATTGTCAAGCTCTTTTCCAGTCACTTTATAATTCTCCGAAGTCTGTGCAATCACACTTGATGGTTAACTAATTTAAGGAAAATACATTAATGTCAATGTAGGAGAGTCCAAATCAGTCAGTATCATAAAATAGTAGAATATTTCTGCAACACCCTCACAGAACTTGGGAACGTTCATAAATTACGTAATGTACTTTATCGGCATTTTTGACCCTCCCCTCCGCCCCTTTAACGCAACCCCATTTCCCCCCTTCCCAAGTAGCATTTCTCAACAGAAAAGGGCTGGACACACGTTCAAAGTGGAGCTTCAAAGTGGTAAACGTTTAGTCCAGTGTTGATTGATGACCTTCAAAGGAGAGCAGCCCGCTCTCCTTTGAAGGTCATCGATGCTCTGCGGATCTCAACGTCCATCTAACCTCTCCAAGCGCGCGGCTATTACAATAATAATTTAAGTGCGTCTGCGTAGTGAAAAATTATGGAATTTAATCAGGTCATCGCAAAAGGTCCTGCCGTTTCGACTCTGAAAATTGTCAACCTAGTTGAAAACCCAGCCTCACTTGCTCCTGCAACAACCAATCCATCACCAGGACAGGTTATCGCACAAGGTACAAATCCTGCTGTTTCCAAAGTAAATCAGGTCATCGCAAAAGGTCCTGCTGTTTCGGCTCTGAAACTTGTCAACCACTACAGCTTTTTTAACAAAATTATCACGGTCTATATCCATTTTAATAAAATCAAACTGCTTCAGCACGATCTTTGTTTACTTTTAATGTTTGTTTACATGAAATTTTAGGGTTAAGTCTTCAAAGTCGTGTAAACACCGCTACAAAGTGAACACATCAAGGGCCACGTCACCAGTCAACTCTTGGCTAAACGTTTACCACTTTGAAGCTCCACTTTGAACGTGTGTCCAGCCCTAAAGGTCGCCATACCGGGTGATTCAGACCATCCATCGACTATCTCTAACCGGAGAACCACTGAAAATCGAGTTTTGAGGGCCAAGCCCGCCACAAGGGCGGGGATACTGGATCTAAGGCCCGGGCCCTGGTCATAGAATAAAGAGGCTAACGTCAACAGAAGCGAAAGCCACCGCCATTTTCATGTCAACGAAGCATAACGAAAGGAGGCTGTTTCAATAAGTACTGTTTACGTTTGCGGTAGGTCGACGTTTTGGAGAGATCGAATAATAACGGATACATACGTTTTACGGAATTGAAAGAGTTTTCTTTTAACTTATTTATCGTTATACCGAAGAAGCACTGTAAATTCGCTTAAAATTTAATGGTTTTTTCCACTTTTATATTTGTAGGTAACCTCGAAGTTGGTTTCAATAAGGACCGACTCAGAGGAGAAAAATGTTAACATTGGCTCTTACGGAGCTTTCGCTTCTGTTGACGTAGTTTATTTATTCTATGCCCTGGTACCATGGACCCTGTTTCCCCACCTTTGTGGCGGGCCTGGCCCTCAAAACTCGATTTTCAGCGGTTCTCCGGATAGAGATAGTGGACAGGTGGTCTGGATCACCCGGTATATTGCTATTTTATCGGCGATAAAATCATCAGAATCATCGACATCTAAGCGATTATCCTCGATCTAATCACAATAAAATCGCGCTTTTATCGCTCGACAATTTATCGCTATGTTTTTGAAATAAAAATCGCGATAAATGGCGATTTAATCTCGATTTTGTCGACGAAAATTCATCGCGATTTTATCGAACTAAAAATCGCGATGTGTAGCGATTTAAGGTGGAACCCTACATAAAACTCTCAAAAAAAAATTCCATGAGATGGCGCCACAGTCGCTGATCTCAAAACATGTCATTTTTTGTCTTTTCTCATTAATTTGTGAATTCAGGATTTAATGTACGAGGGGGGACCCAAAAAAAACCGGAGTTTTGCTGTAACTTGGCAACAATGGAAAATATTCGGGTTCCACCGCTAGGAGGTGTAACTAGGAGCTATGAAGAGTCACTAGGCCAAATTTCAACATTGTAGCACATTTTCTTTCCATTTTGACGAGACTTGGCTTCAGAGGTGTTTGGCGACTTCGTAGTTTTTGATAATGGTTAAATTTCAGAAACGACACTCAGAGCTCAAATTTTTCTCTCCTGCTCGATAAAAATACGGCTTTTTCTGTTAACCTTTTGAAGAGCTGCTTCTGAAGGACAAGCCTTTTCAAAAAGTTCAGTGTAAGTACGATTTTTCAGTTTCAAACAGTTGGTCTGTATCACCCGAAATCCCTGTACGGCTCTAAACCGCTATCGCCATCGGCTAGAACCGATGAAAACATGAAATAAATCGCGTTTTTGTGAATGAATATGGTTAAATATCGTTTCGTCTACTAGCAGATATCACTTGGATGTAATACAGAAATGTTCAGAACATTGCTGTGAAAAATGTTGGCATAAAACGCGCTGTTGCCGAATTGATCCCCTATTTTGCGCTCTAGCCGGTGACGGCCGCCTGGCGTTAAGCCTACGTTCGAACAATAAATCACACTTTAAAACGAAGAAAAACATTTGTTCACTTATGTTATAGGTAAATCATGTTCCCAGCAACATTCACTCCAAAAATTGACAGAGTTCAGCCGCACATAGTCTATGAAAATCACCTATTTTCAAAAACTACGAAGTCGCCGAACACCCCTGAAGCCAAGTCTCGCCAAAATGGAAAGAAAATGTGCTACGATGTTGAAATTTGGCCTAGTGACTCTTCATAGCTCCTAGTTATACCTCCTAGCGGTGGAACCCGAATATTTTCCATTGTTGCCAAGTTACAGCAAAATTCCGGTTTTTTTTTGGGTCCCCCCTCGTATGGGTCATTTCAAGTCAAGTGTACCAGGCTCGGAACCCGATCCCCTCCGATTTGGCTGAAAATTGGTATACGAGGTCTTTACATCATTCTAAGATACTAAGTGGAAGGGTTTTCCCATCCGACGCTCCGTTCGCGAGATATCGAGATCGACCCCCAAAGATGGGGTAAATTTTAGCGATATTCAATAAAGCCTGTTTTAGCGATTCTCATTTTCTCGACTTCCCTCTCTTTGACTCTCCGTAGCGAAACTCTGTACCGATCCATCATACTTTGCAAGCATGTTTTTAATCCAATTGTTCATGGAAATTCTGAATATGCCATCGTAATTGAGCTAAAGTTGATTTAAATGGCCGTAATTTAGGGTTTTTTAAAATTTACTATTTTTTCGTTTTTCAATGTTCAAACTGAATTATCTAAAAACAGCCGTTCCGATTTTCGATTTTTTTTTTTTATACTTCAAGCTTAAGATGTATACTTTTGGTTGATATACTTTTTTCAATTGCTATCGGACGGTTAAGGGCCTTAAAAAATTCAAGTAGACCTAAAAAGGTCAAAAATTGGTAAAAACAGACGATTTTTTACATGTTAATCCTAGTATTTCGATAATGAACGCCTCAATTGTCGATATTTTTCCCCAGTGCACCCTATAAGATGTATAAAATCAGACTATCAACACTTTCCATACATTCACCGATCGATTGATGGCTTGATGGAAACCGACCGAAAATCCTCGAAATTGACGAAAAAAGACGATTTTTCATACCGTAACCGATGCATTCCATGGATTGTAATTGCAATTTCCAATTTTCTCTCTCTATTACAACCTTAAGGTAAATATTTTCGAGTAATAAACACTTATTAA